GGGCCATGGGACCCAACCAGAGCCTGGAAATGATCAGGCCCATAATAACTGACTGAGCATTGATACATTCTCTTATAGCAGATTCCTTCTGGAGACACCGTTGGGCAAAACAATATAAACATTTATAAAACACAAAGAGGATGACTTCACTTTCCGGAAGAAGTCGTACAGAGTGCCAGTACCTCTGCTGTCTCTGCTTACATGTAGTGCTGACAGTATAGAGGATAGGTAGGTCACATTACACGATGACACTTGCTTCACATTCCTGCAATGTCAAAATGTGTAGTCATCAAAAATAAAAATATACTAAATTATAAATAATCCCTAAATTCATGCTGGTGAGGTAAGAGGCATGAGATATAAGGGAAAGATGGTGTTTGACTTCAGATTAAATACTTCCTAAATTAAGACAGAATCGTTTTTTTTTCTTGGATTCATTTTTTTGTAACTGGGGCCCAAACAGAAGTGCCAACCTCTCCTAATAAGAAAAAAACGGAGATAGTGGCTATAATGTACACAAAGAAATAATTAAAACCTATTATTGGGACAGAATCACTTTTACTCTTATGGAAGACAAGTAATGGTAGTGATTTATATTTCAGAATTCTGCATGGCACGGCAAAAGCTTTGTCCTTGAAGTCCTGTCATCTAAATTGTGCTAACTTTCAAAGTGAATGCACTCAGTTAAAAAAATATACATTTATATTAGTACTGTGGGGTGTTGGCATTTCTTGAAAAAAAAAGAGAAGGAAATGGATTCTTAGGGAAACAACTATCTCAGTATCTATTTTTGCACACTCCCTTACCGTCTGGCATTTGCTTGACAATTAACAGCAGTGGCTCTGGGAATTATTCATAGTGGTTGCTTCGCCTCTATCTCAAATGGATACTTCAAGCTCTTCTCTCTGTATAATTCATTCCATACAGTACATCTGCATTTTAAAACAGCTCATAGTTTCTAAGTTGTAAGATGCGTAAGACTTACAATGTGCAGGAATTATAGAGTGACTTTACTGCCAAAAAGAAATGCTTGACCTACTTTCTCTCACCTGTTTAGCTACGAGCTTCTTAGGCTTTTTTGAAATAGCTGCAATACCTCTAAATACCAGGAGATGGCAGAATAAGTCAACTATCACAATACACAAATCTGTTTAAAGTTCCCTTTGCACAATATGTAACAACATCACTCTATTGTTATTTGAATTGTGAAACACCCCCACAACTTGTAAGTGAAAAAACACTTAAAGTTTGCTGTATACACATACACTGACACTTTGGTTCTAATAATCATAACATGTAGACATTGGTTTTTCTCTGCACGATGGTGACATAGCATCACATTATCTAAATGATACTTGAAACATGTTAGCTGTTGAATGTGCAGCATGTGTGGAGGTGTGTTTGGATATTTTCTTTCCTGCATGGCCCCAAGTCACCAATATGCCACAGAGAGATATCACTGTGCTTTGCAGTTATCTTTATTGGACTCAACCAAGTTGAAATGAGGGGAGGGGTTATATGGTCTGATGTGATACTTTTACTTTATTCCTTATTTTTATTTTGGGTTGTTCTGTCATTCCGTTTTAGTTGTATTTCATGAAGTAACATACAATTAGTAAATATTCGAAGTACTTAATATTGTAAAGCTGTAAATGTTCCTTAAACTATTAATATGCACCACTTCTGTTTCACATACAATGGCTAGAGAACGCCTGTCATATGTTTGAGGTGGACTTCATGTCTCTGTATGACTTTAACTCTTCACTAAAGTCAGATGTCTGAAAAGTAACCTTGGAGTGATACAGCTCTTTATTTTTTTTATCATGTGTACCTCATTGCCACAGGCCAGAATCCTTTAAAAGCAAGAATGTTACCTTGATCTTTGAAACCATGTTGTTGCGGAAAACATTGTCAGTATGATTGCATATCATTACTTAGCCTGGGTATACAATAGTAAGAGTCCTTCATCACCTTCATGAGACAAATACATTAAAAAAACACACATGGTGATACTTACCGCTTCGACCTATAATAACTAATAATGCTTATTACAATACACATAATCAAATGTGAAGCTTTTTATATTAACCAGAATCAGCTTCACTTGCCAAGTCAGTTGGACACACAAGGAATTTAATTTGGGTTTCTGTGGATCTCAACATGCACTTATTCTCCAGTGTGCAGTGCACTCTGTATATCTGGAAACAAATTGCTTCTGCAATGACTGTACTTATTATAGTAGCAGTGTCCTGTTTTTATCAACGCCAATTTACTCTGGCCGTCTTTGGGCAGAAGGACATCCTCTGACTCACTGCAGAGGAAGCACTTCTGGCTGAGAATTTGACACAAGTGGGACTCTGACCTCACTTTCATCCTGTGGGAGGAAAAGGGGGGAGTAATGAAATACTGGATGTGAGCGATGTAGAAGTATAGGTGAATGAAACGAAAATATGAGGAGGACATAATGTTGGCTTGAGTATACTTTTAACACACACAGAATATAGCGTTATATATAGTAAATGTGAGATGGTTTTATAATGTGGGCATTTCCCCTAACTTTAAGGTGACTTAAATTGAAGGATATCAACGTTTTGATGGGCTTAAGAACTGGGCTTGTCAACTGTAATTTGCTTCATGGTTCTAAAGAGGAAATGAAAATGTGCAAACATATTTTTAGCTGCCATAATTTGGTTATTGTTCTCTGAACAGGAAGCTCCCTGGGGAGAAGTTGATGCAGAGGATATCATTTAAAAAAGGACAAGAACAATCTAATTAACAGCATCTTAATGGCCATAAAGCATGTTAACAGAGTTATTGATTAAAGACACACCATCTTGAAATTCATTCAGCGATACTGAATGGAAATTCTTTTTTTAATCAAGTCATTGTCATAGAACTAAACCTCTTGAGAAGTCTATTTGTGAACATTAGATTACCCTATTATCATGATTTCCCGTAATGTAGATCCACTACAGTAAATGACCTCATAGAGAGACTAATTGTGAGTGATGGCTAAACATATGACATGTTATTTAAAGCATCGATAAAAAATGTATTTGTAGAAAATATGGCTTATGACATTTATTTTAAATACATAAATTACAACAGGTTATGTTATTTCAACATGGCAAGGGGACATTTCTATTCCGTTTTAAAATGAATGATTATAAAGTTGTGGGCTTAACTGATTGATTCATTTATTTTTTTGCTATTCTTTAAAATGTACCATTGAGTTTGGAGGATCAATTGTCACTTTCTGATAGTGGGTATATTCTTTTACAATACATGACTATGAACTGGTTCATTCTGGCTTTTGATCTAGCTTCCAGGCATCTTCATTGAAAACAACAACAGGTGGACCATGACTTCTTGTAAATGGCTATCAGTCTGTGTACACCACACAGTGACAGATGGAGAAATGCATCAGGCATGCTGTGCTTTGGCAGGAAGTAGCACATGAGCTGTTAACACAATAATCACAAACACACACTGTACATGTGTCAATAACATGTAAGTTAAAAACAAAACAAAAAAGGTGCCATATTTTGTAAAGTAAGGCAGCTGTTGCAGCAACAAGAATATAAAGACAATACAACACGAGTTACTTTTATTGGATTTAGTGGGATTGCAAACTATTTGTCCTAAAAGGTTGCATTAGTCGTTCCTGTAAGTGTTATAACGTTTGTCCTTTAGGAGATATTGACATATAGAGGGGAAATAAGATGATTTAGGCTTTCTTCATCGTTTTTTCTTAATTCAAATATAAACCCTACTTATTTCAAAGTGAAAAAAGTCCATAAATGTTGGACAAACCAAATATGAACATGTTGCAGTGCAGTTTTACGCCAAGAGAGGGCGTCAGAGAGTGACAGCGGCTTTAATCCAAGGCAGATTTTTTGCTGCACAGAAATTCCCCGTTTTGGCTAAAATGACATCAGCGTCTCCTCCCACCAACCAGGCTCCCGGCGCGATGCATGCAAAGATTGTGTATTCATGGGACGATGTACTACTCAAAAGCCTTATTATGACTGTAATTTCTAATTGTGCTGCCATTGACTGTTGATCACCATCTTCAAATGTTAATGGTTATGTTTCGTCCTTTACTGTTGTACGCAGTCCAATTGTCTTCCTTGTTTCACTCAGATCTTCTCAGATTACATTAATTGCTTAACATGTACGCCATCTGCTTGTATGCATCCAAACTAATTGTGTGAGAAGGGCTAACATTGCTAAAGGTTGTGTATGGGGTGCTGATTCTTGTGCTGGTTTTTCAATGGTCTAGGTCAAACATGGCAGGTCAGGTGACCTCCTGAATGCAAACACTTGGCCATTATTATTAATCATGAATTTTCAAATTGCTTAGGACAACCTGAATGCACTTTCCATGTGCATTATATATTTTGTGACACAATAGGCTGCAAAAGATTAATTCCAATTTGTCCTCTAATTTATTTAGGCCCCTGTTGGCTCAGCGGGTAATTTATCATATAACCACCCCTTGTCAGATTCATTGTACCAAGATAATGATTGCATCTGATTTTGATTGCCCCCTTTCATTCTTTGATTGCACATGGCTTAATCATGCCAATGTTATAATTTAGCTTGCACAAAGCACAGTACCTTTAAGTACACACTCACAGAGCTTTGTGGTTATACATGTTTGTAGATGTAATGAAAATATACATACAAACATCGATTAAAACAAAACAAGCGCTTACATGTAGGGCAAAATAAAATTAATATAGTTTCATATTTGGAGAACCCTTTGGAAAAAGAAGATAAACACATTTGAAGAATGCATTGATGGTCTGCAGCAGCCCCAATTATTTCCAGGAACACCGTTTTTAGAAACAGGATCAGAGTGAGCCCTCTTCTCGTTTTTTGTTTCTGTTTTGGAGTAGCAAACCGCACTCCCGCCCCTAAAGGGTCATCTCTTCAATCCGGCTATTTTATTGGCCGCAAGAGGCATCAATCAGGAGATTATCCGTGTCCGGGTAGGTTGATTACGCTCTGCAGCGCTGAGCTGAGCGGGGCTGTGCAGAAAGCAGTGCATTTAAAACCGCCCAGGGAAGACACCGCATTTACGAGGCTAGTTTTGTTTTTTTGCTGTCTCCCTCCCTCCCTCCTCGCCCCGGGTTGACTCTGTCCGGTCCACGATGAGTTGGTCGAGAGGAATGCAGCACTGGTTGACCTGAGCAAGTGCTTTTTTTTGTTCTTTTAACCCCACCGTAACACACTTACTCTGCTACTTTTTATTTCATTTAATTGGATGCCGTGTCGGACTGCTGCTGTTGCTGCCACCCTGAAAGAAATAGGAGGACCCTTGCTTCTTGCAAGTTGACTGTTTGCCTTTGAAGAAGAAAAGCAAGGTTATGTAGGTAGGCATTGCTGTCGGATACATCTCCGCCCCGTTGTTTACATGCTGTAATTGGATTTTCCATCATTTCCAGCAACAGAGGCAGTTGTAGTAGCTCAGGGTTTCATCCCTCCTCCTCCTCCTCTTGTTCTTCCTCCTCCTGTTTGGAGCTTATTGCTGGGTCCAGGTGGTGTCAAGGCTGGTGGTGCTGGAGAAGAAGAAGATGGGACTACCTGCTCTGGAGTTCAGTGACTGCTACCTGGACAGCCCCCAGTTCAGGGAGAGACTCAAGTCCCACGAACTGGAGCTGGACAAGACCAACAAGTTCATCAAGGAGCTGATAAAAGACGGCAAGGCACTGATCCAGGCTCTGAAAAGTAAGTGGAGCTTGACATGTGTGTTTGTAGACTCATCAATGCTCTCCATATTGACACACATCTTCTCTGGTGCATGTGGCTGTGTCAGAACGATCCAAATGCTTTGACAAAGTTGAGATGCCTTTTAGGTGTATGTCTGGGAAAGAGATTGTTCTGGAAGTCTTATCTCAGTTACATTGGCATTACATGAAAAGCTTAGAGTATGTGTGTGTGTGTGTGTGTGTGTGTGTGTTCCTGATAAAGCACAGAAGTTAAGGGGCAAGGCGGGTGAATTTGAGTGAGCTTTGTAGCTGTCAGCACATTTGTTCCCATCAACTTACATCATAAGGCTTTTTAGAGGGACATAGGGGAGTCGGCAGTGTATGTTTTACTCACACTTGTTCTCTGTTAAAGGCTGTGATGTTGTTTAATGTTGGTAAGGGGTTTGACTACCAGAACCTACTATAAAAGAGCTGTTATAATTTATTAGAAGAGGTGACTACAGGTTTGCTTTTTTAGTTTTTTAATGATGTGAATGAAAACCTGTTAAGACATGTAGCCTACAAGCGATGGGAAAAAAGCACTACATTTAAGTTTAGGTACCAGCAATAGAAATCCAAATAGTTATATTTAGGTATAATAAGTGGTTATAAATGGTAACCCTGCTGAAAAAACCAGCTTAGACCAACTTAGCTGGTCAACCAGCCTGACCAGCTAAGAAAAACAGTATAGACCAGCATAGTATGCTGGTATGCTGGGCTGGTCACCATGCTGGAAGCTTACCAGGATTCCAGGTGACCAGCATACATTGTTTAAATACTGGTATGATTATTTAAACCAGAGAACATAAATATATTACAAAGATTCATTGTGTCATGTATTCTGGTATCTACCAAAATAAAGACATTGTAAAGTGTTCATAACAGTATTTTAATTGAATAAATAGCAATAAATAGCTAGTTAATATAATAAAATACACAGTAACCATACAATAATTATACAAATAACAACCAACCTGCAAATCAACCTACACATCAAAATAAATATATGATCTAAAACAGGTGCATTTGATTTAAAATAAATAGAATAAATATAATTCAATATTTAAATGGTAACAAAAACAGTAACACTATGTATGATAAGAAAAAGGCAACAAAGAAAGTGTTTTTTGTTTTTCCTTGTTCATGTCCATAATGTTTCCCGTTGTGTAGCGTCCAGCCTTTCCCAATCTGGCCTGCATCTCTGTCTGTTGAAGCCACTTCTTGAAGCAAACTGAAAAGAAATGTACAGATATAAGTACACTGTAAAAATAAAACTTGACATCTACGTTAACTTGACCGTTAAAGTATGGTAAAATACATTACAAATTACAGTTGGTTGGCATAGACGTTACAGTCAACAATTGCTTATGGTGAATTACAATGCAGGGCTCGACATTATAAATGACCCGCTGGCCCGGAAGCACTATTACACACTATTAGACACCCCGGGCAAGCATAACGTACTTTCCACTTGCCCGCTCGGGCCACTAAAAATATTGCTTTAAAAAAATAAAATGGTCCTGTAGGTTTTGGTAGTATAGCTTTTAGGTTAGGCTTTGGTTTTGTTACGGTTATTAATAAAGAATGTTTTTGCCTGGATTCATAGTAGTGTAGGACTGGCAGCTGCTATTACACTGTGTGTAAAAGGTGTGTTTAGTTGGGTCAACACTGTACCTGCACGGCTGCTACTGTAGATATCAGCAGAAGGATGATAAAATCCTGGAAAGTTCAGCCTGCTGCCTAGCCTGAATTTTCCACCCTGTGTTATCGGCTGTACCTTTTTTTTTTATAGAAGAAACAAGCTCAGTCTTCTTCAGTCTTCTTCTTGGTCAGCTGATGTGTGGCTATAATAACAATTCTGCTTTTGTCCATTGGTGAGATCTAGAAATCAAACAGCATGGCCTGATTCCCTGCGGTTGCAATGAGTGAGAGTCATTTGCTTGTTCTGTGCCATTGTAGCAGGGTGCTGCCTAACAAAGAGCAGATCAACAGATGTTCCCAGCTAATCTTTTTATACCTGTACTACACAGTGTTGTTGCCCTTTGCTGGCACATGAGATGAATCAGTTGCAACAGGTCTTTTCTAACAGGACTTTTCAGCTGCACTGTAAATCTTACCTGCTGCATCTTTCAACACACCTCCTCTGCATTGAGAGGATGTGTGAATGTCCTGGGAAGCCCCTCACGTTTTGTGAGATACTAATTGCTGTTGGAGGAGTAGCCCCAAAAGCCCCTGACAGCTTTCACATGTGTTTTTGGTAATGACTACATCAATGTTGCCACAGAAGGAGAAAGTGAAACATTTATAGCCTGCTACTCAGGAGTTTTATAGTGTTACAGTGTTAGTGTGGACTTAATAAAGCCTGTTGTTATGTAGCTGCTATCTCTATCTGATGATTATATAGACTGGTGGGATGACATAAATGGTACTGTTTAAACCGCTGCATCACTGGAATTTAAATATAAAGAATTGGCATTTTGTGCTGTAAATAATGTATCATGATTGGTTGAAACAGTAAATTATAAAACAAATAAGATCTGTGAATACAAATACAAATATGAAAGTCTTCTTTTTGCACAAATGAAAACATGTACACCTATACTATTGAGTCTGGGATGCACTTATTTTTCTCTTCTAAATTGAGAAAGATGTTTTGACAGGATATTGCTCATTCATGTTATTTATTGAATAGAGGAAGTTTCACACCGAGATCACAGCTATTGCAAATGTATAGCAGCCCTATCCTGTTTGTGGGTACCAACTTGGTTTATGTAGCAATTCAACAAGTGCACACGCACACGCACACAGGCAGGCTAGAGCTGCTATGCATGCACACTCGCATATACACGCATACAAAAATGTGTGTTAGCCAGATGTCATTTAAGGGCAGAGCTAGCTGGTTATTATGGAGCCTGTAGAAGAGTTTGGCTCTCTGCTCCACCTCTAACATGACACGGCTCAATCAGCCAAACAAACCCTAATTGCAGGCTTGAATCTCCCTGGTGCTGTGAGGGGAAACGAGACACCGTGTTTAGACAGTTTATGTGACACTGACACATGATGTTGCCAACTTATTAGCTGAAAGTGTAAAGAGCAGTGGAGTTTCTTCAAAGTTCACATCACTTGGCTCAGGAGAACATTTTGTACGTCTTCTGTGAATGTGTCTGAGCTGGATTCTGTGCCTTTGTTTTGATGCCCCCCTCTTTTTCTATATATCATCACTATGTAATGTGACATTAATATCTTCTAGCAATTTGCTACCAGATTTGTGGTATGCTGCTGTCAGTAAAACAATGCAACTTATTGCCCTGACAAGTTGACAACGGATAAATACAATCTTAAAACAGGATTAGAATCAACTTCAAAACCCTTTTACAATTTAACCAGAAGTCAAGCAGACCAGTTAACCTGCTAGTAGATCATTTATTTATAAAAAATAAATTGAACAATACATGATTTTAGTTATAAAACAATGCTAAAAACTGTAACTATACACATTCAATGCATATTATTAGCTTCAAGTCCGAGGGCTCCGCTGTCAGGCACTAGTTTTTCACGATGAGGTCATCGTCCACTGCACTGACAGTACCACTTGCTGGAATGAGCAATGATGTAGTCTGAGAGTCATTCTACCACTAGGACATTTAGTGATCAAATTGTAAGGCACAGTTGCACACGACACAAACACACACACACTTGTGTTACAGCCAAAGCGTGACGTATCATTTGGTCATATAGATCATTTTTCTTCACCATTAATAAGAGCTTTTAGAGCACGGAGGCCTGAAACATGAGAGAACACAGCTGGTTATAGAGTCCCCTGTTAGTGTTGGCTGTGTGGGACTGTATGTGTGGTTTAATATTGTGCATGTATGATGTTGTTAATACGGATATAGTACATTCCTGAACTAGTATTAATGTGGCCTAGTGACCCCTTTGTGCACAGCATGCCCTACAGTGTGCAATGTGAGTGTGTCTCTTGACCTTCAGTGAGCTTCATATATGATGCTAATTTAGAAAGGGTTAACATGTGAGGAGGACAGAGAATCCGACATGATATTATAGAGACATGCAAAGACACAAATACAAAGGCGCAAAGGGGGGATGAGCCTAGGTAACAATGCCCACTAAAAAATTATTCCACTCATTTATTAGGTCTGGATTTGGTTTCAATTCGAGAAGATTTATTTAAGTAAACTTGAAGTTATTTTAATGTATCAATAGCTAGGGCTTGACGAGAGGTTCTGCCTCTTAATTTGGACAATAATGGGCTATTTTAGTCCTATGTAATTTCCAGATTTAACAAATCAAAATGTTTGTAACTGGAGAAATAGTTGATGCCGTAACCTTTATTAACATAGCCCAACATTAATCTTCAAGAACCACTGCATATATTAAAAAAACATAGTAAACTGCTTATCCTGCTCTATAAATTGCGGTACACATATTAAAGGCTTGACTCTGAAAGCACACACACTGTTAAAGCATGTGCAGCTCTGCTATCTGCGGCCTGTTACTGCTTAAGAACATCCCTCCACCGATTAGCACTGTCTTGATAATGGCTTTGTTTTCAGACGTTGACTCTGGGTTCAAATTGAACCGTTTACGGCCCCTAGCAACCTCACAAACAAGCTGCAGGCTGTAAGAGCTTTTGTGTAAAACCTCTCTCAGAAGCAGAAGTGGGAATTCCCTGAGATGGAGCGTGCGCCGTTCCGATCCATATCGCTCTAGATCTTCTTCTCTCTACCTTCTGTCTGTGTTTTCCTGCACCACCCACTGTGCTGCTGGTGAGTAATAAGGAGGGTAATAGCAGTCATTCCGTGGCTCAACTGTCAACTGTGCTGATGGATGAGGGACGCACAAACGCACACCACACCATAACTAATTCTCAATTATGGCTGACGGAGGGAGTGAACCCTCGGTTTAAAAAGGTTCAGAGCAAAGGGAAGGGTATGTGCCAAGGGGCAAAAGAAAGAGAAA